TTCATACAGTGAGTTGTTTTTAAATTTTTTTCCCTTTATTAATTTTAGCGAGAGAGGAAGGGAGACGGAGAAAGAGATAGAAACATCGATGAGAGAGAACATCAACTGGCTGCCTCTTGCATGCCCCACACTGGGGATTTGGTCTACAACCTGGGCATGTGCCCTGACCAGGAATCAAACCGGTGACCTCTTGGTGCATGGGTCAATGCTCAACCACTGAGCCACACAGGCTGGGCTATAGTTAATATTTTATATGAGACCAAACAGTTTCTTTAAATTTGATAAAACTCTTTCTCACCATGTTTGTGTGATGTCACAAGTAACATGTTTAATTAAATTCATATAGGTAGCAAATGAAAGACTTTTTAGATTTAGTTGTACATGCCACATATTCCGGTCAGTTTTTGTTGTTGTTTTTCACTAACAATTCTTCTTTATATGTATTTTTTAAAAGTTGTTTGTCAATAGTCTGGCCAGTGTGCCTCACTGGTTGAGCATCAACCCATACACCAAGAGGTCACCAGTTCGATTCCCAGTCTGGGCACATGCCTAGGTTGTGGGCTCCATCCCCAACAAGGGGTGTGCAGGAGGCAGACACTCGATGTTCTGTCTCATCGATATTTCTATTTCTCTCTCCCTCTCCCTTCCTCTCTCTCTAAAATCAATAAAGAAAATATTTTAAAAATAAATAAATAAGTAAAACAATTTAAAAAAGAAGTTATTTGTCAATAGCTGGTACCTTGGGCACTGAGCCCAGCTTTGCTAAATTTGACCATTTTTGCAGCACTCTTTCTAGTTCTAGATACTTTGGAAATTCTTGGTTTGTTTTCTAAAAATGAAGTAAATAATCTCATTTGGGAAAGCTAGCTTCTTTTTTTTTTTAATCCTCATCCGAGGACATTTTTCCATTTTTTGTACAGAGTGGGAAGGAGAGAGAGGAAGAGAGAGAGATGGAAACATAGATGTGAAAGGGACACATCGAGTGGCTGCCACCCGCACGACCAACCAGGGCCGGGGACAAACTGCAACCGAGGTACGTGCCCTTGGCGGGAACCGAACCCGGGTCTCTCTTGACCGCAGGCGGACGCTCTAACCGCTGAGCCAAACCGGCCAGGGCAAGCTTCTTTTTAAATGATATTTTAAGGTTAGTTTAAAACAATTCCCAATTTGGCTTTTCAATAATAGACCTGACAAATAATCACATTGCACAACAAAATATATTCATCCATAGAATAATGAAAGTAATTAGTATTATTGCTATTAATAATTATTATTATAGCTAACACCGAGTGCTACTGCCATTGTTCTAAGTGCTTTACATGTATTGATTCATTTCATCTTCACAAGAACCCTATGAGCTAAGATACCAATATTATCTCCATTTTACAGATGAGGGATTTATAATACTTATTTTAATGCAAAACTAAATTCAGCTTTGGAAAAATAAGTCATGTTTGGCAGGGTTTATCAGCAAGGCTAGGAAGTTGGCCAGTTAAAGCAGGAAACCAAAAGAAGAAAGGGAAGTAGAAACAAGCTTGTTTAGAGGTTTCCGAACCTTACTCTATTCTCTAAATAGAAGAATTTAAAACAAACAAACAAAAAAGTAGGCAATTCTCATAAGCTGTTAATCAAAGTAGAATTATCTTCTATTTAGCTCTAGGTCAACAAATAGCCCTTTAGTTTTTGTGAAGGGCAATATCTGGAGCTTACATATGTGTTACATTATGCTTGTGAAACATTAGCCTTTTTTTTTTTTAATGTTCAAAAGAACATAGAAGCTCAGGAACTGTGCTTCTAGTTAGAATAGAAATAAAGTGTTTGCATTCCAATTTCTCCTGTGATGGTTGATTATCTTCTTAATAGCTGTGAGACCACAACCCATTGTGGATTAGCTGCACTTCATCTAGAAGCAAAGAGGAAGTCTAACTAAGAGTAGCTCTGACAATCCAGCAACATGTTAATCCGGAAAATCATTTTCTATGTGTAGATATTTTGGTAAACTATTGCATGTTTATAAAATGTTTTTATAGGGATATATTTTGTTTTATATGATGATATGATTGAATAAGTGAATAATTAACCTAATGGAAATAGTAATTAACTCCGATTCATAGTTCCAAAGTTGTATTTGATTAAAAAACAATTAGTAAAGATTTTTAAAAGTATTTAAGATGAAGAAAAGAATCAAATGAAAGCACTAATGAGTCACATTTTTATTCTACATTTGGTAGTTTCAATATACTGTCTATAACTTTTTCATTGGTCTTCACAAAGAAGGGGTTCAATTTCAGCAGACTCCTTTAGGTTCTAAATGTTAGGAGTAACATCTGTCTATTCTCACCAGCTCATGCCTGGAAGGAGAAACTCTAGAAATAATCTATCATTACATATGCTTTTTAATTTTTTTATTTATTCCTCACCCAAGGATGGTTTTTATTTATCATCAGATAGAGTGGGAGGGAGGGAGGGAGGGAGGGAGAACGAGAGAAAGAGACAGAGAGAAACATTGATATGATAAAGCCACATCGACTAGTTGCCTCCTGACCAGGGCCGGAGAGGAACTGCAACCAAAGTACTCGTCCTTGACCGGAATTGAACCCGAGACTCATTGGTCCAAGGGCTGATGCTCTAACCGTTGAGCCAAACCAGCCAGGGTTACATTTGCTTTTTATATTTAAGTATACAATAAAGTATTTAAACCTTTAATCACTGGGAAGAATTTTCATAAAAAAATTAGAGAAACTAAGAAAAATAACCAGAAAGAAACTAATAACTGGATTTGTCAATAATTTAAATGTGATTGAGAGAAAGGAGGCAATCAAAATTGATAACTAGTTACATCTAAGAGATGGGAAAATATTCAGGTTTATGTCATTGATAAGTCAAAGAAGAAAGGTTAGGTAAAGGTAGTATTTGTTACCTTTCTTACAAAACTTACTATTCCTTTTGATGAATATATTATTACTTTGATTCCTGTCAAATGTTAGTGATAAGTAACATGAAATAGTAATAAAAGTCCTCTAAATAATTTGCAATTGTCTTAACATTTTAAAAAAATGTGATTAAGTGTTTTATACAATAGTTTTCTCCATGTTCTTCTGGTTTAAAAGAGCAGATAGAAAGAAGCCCATGCCCTGGCCAGTTTGGCTCAGCGGTTGAGCATCGACCTGTGGACCAGAAAGTGCTGGGTTCAGCTCCCGCTAGGGGCACATATCACAAAAACAAACAAACAAACAAACAAAAACAAGAAAGAAGAAAGAAAGAAAGAAGCCCAGCTGGTATGGCTGGTGTGGCTTAGTGGTTGAGCATTGACCCATGCACAAATAGGTTGCCAGTTCGATTCCCAGTCAGGGCACATGCCCAGGTTGTGGGCCAAATCCCCAGTGCGGGGCATGCAGGAGGCGGCCACTTAATGAACATTAATGTTTCTATCTCTCTCTCTCCCTCTCCCTTCCTCTCTCTGAAATCAATAAAGAAAAAAAAACAAAAACTTAAACATGACAAGATTGTGACATGCCAAAGGTGACATAACCTGCAGGTACAGCCAGATTTCCTAATTATTAACCTAGTGTAATATTTTAAGATTCATTAGATTACTAAACCTGGTGATTAATAGCACCTGACACACACCCTTCCTGTTTTATAAAAATCATCCCGTTAACCTTGTGGATCTATGCATTGAAACCTATTTGTTTGAAGAAATCACCTAAAAACTTTTCTCTTTTTCCTTTTTTTAAAATCCTCACCTGAGGACATTTCTCTGTGTATCGTCACAGGGCGGGGGAGGGGAAGAGGGAGGGAGAGGAGAGCTGGAGAGAGAGAAACGTCCCTGCGAGAGAGACAGGGACTGGTTGCCTCCCACACGACCCCCACCACGACGGAGCAACCCAGGTCAGTGCCCTTGACCTGAAACGAACCCAGGACTCCTTGGTCTGGGCCTCGGCTCCACCTGCTGAGCCAAACCGCCCAAGGCTAAGACTTTTTTTTTTTTTAATCCTTGAGTGGAGTGTATTTGTGGGCTCAGAGAAAAGCTCAAGAGTTTGCAAGATCCCTGGCTCTTTTACTACAGGTCCAGAAGGATAGATGGATAAAGTGACACCAGGCTGAAACGACTGAGAGACGGGTGTCCGGACGCTTCTAGTTTAAAATGATGAAGCAGCTTTTAAAATAGAAAAGTATGTTTTTCACCCAAGCAATCTAGTGTTGAGGGAATCAGTGATGTTCAAAAATATTTTTGAAATATTGGTATATAGATATAGATATAGATATTTAAAAGGAAAGCAGCTGTATTCAGGAACGTGTCCCCCTCTTCGCCCTCCCCCGAGCTCCAGCCTTCCACATGGCCAAATCGCATAGCTGAGAGGATTTTACTCATTTTTTCCAAAACACTTCACATCTGGGTAGTCGCCAACCATGGAAAGTTTCAAGTACATGTAACATTTGGGAGAGGGACACGGCCGGTCTGGGGCTGCCTTCGCCGGGCTGCGGTCCTCGGAGGCGTCGCCACGCGCCCGTACCCGGCAGCCGGGGTCCGGCTGCCAGCTCGGCCCAGCCAAGCTCCCCGCCAATCCCGCGGGCCGCCGGCCCCTCAGCCGCGGGAGCTCTTCTGGCCCAGCAAGTCTCCTCAGCAGTTTGAGGTTCCAGAGTCCAGGAGTCCATCCGCTTCGTAAATGACGAGACTCTTGAGCCCCTAGTTCCCAACCAGAGCCGCCTCGGAGTTGACAAAGCGAGGCAGAAGGGGCTACGCTGAAGCCCTGCCTGCCGCCCACGCCTCACACGTCAATTTGATTTCTCTCCCCGCCTCCGGCCAGTCCCCCTCCCGCCTCTTCGCGCACCAAACGCCGAGAGAAAGTTGACGGCTTCAGTCCGCAATCAGAAGAGGGGTCGAGAATCTTAGCCAATAGGAGCAGGCGAAGTGGGCAGGCCGCCGGCGTCTTCCCGCCCCCAGGAGGGTGAGCGCGGAATGTCTTCGGCCCTCCCCTGCGCTTCAGCCTCAGTACGGAGCCTTCGGCGGTGAGAGGAGCGGCGGCGGCGGCGGCGGCGGCGAGAGCAGCTGCGGGAGTCCCAACCACACCCACGTCTCTCCCCTGTCCTCACTTGTCCTGTCGCCGCCCCGCGGGAGAACGCATCCCGGAAGGAAAGCGGCCGCCCACGCCCCGAGCATCCTTCCCAGTCGAGCCGACACTGACTGACCCGGCGGCATGATGCGGCTTCGAGGTTCGGCGATGCTGCGGGACCTTCTAAGGCCGTCCGCCGCCGCCAGCGCGGCTCTGAGGCGGGCACAGCCCTTCGCCATTCTGTGCCGGCGCGCCGGGGGCGGGGGACCGGAGGCCGCCGGCCCAGCGGCCGCCGCGCGGCTCTACCCGTGGTGGGGCGGGGGCGGCCGGCCGGCGGGGCCCCTCGCCCGGGGCCTGTCCAGCTCTACCTCAGAGATCCTGCAGGAGCTGGGCAAGGGGGGCACGCAGCAGCCGCAGCAGCCGCAGCCAGGGGCGTCGCCGCCCGCGGCCCCGCCGGCAGCCGGCCCCAAGGACGGCCCGGGGGAGACGGACGCGGTCGGCAACAGCGAGGGCAAGGAGCTAGTGGCCCCAGGCGAAAAGTGAGTGTCTCAGCGTGGCGGAGGAGGCCTCGTCCCGCGTGGGACCGGGGCGGGGCCTGCTGTGGGGTGGGATGGGAGCGGAGGTTCGAGAAAGAGAAAGAGATGCCAGGCGGCCTGCGCGCTCTGCGCCATGTGATTAGGCCCAGCCGCACCCGAGCCTTCCCCGCCCGCGCCCCTCTGGGCTCACACTTCCCTTCCCGGCCCCGGCGCGCCCGGCCCGGGTGGAGCGCGGTGAGGCCGGTTTGGTCCGCCCGCCGTCCCGGAGCTGCGGCTGCGTGGCCCACGCCGCGTACTCCGCGCCCTAGCTCCGGGCTGCAGCACCTGGGCCCCCGCCCAGCCCTTCGTGGGCGATGCCACACGGACATCTCCACCGAGTGACATTTAGGAGTCGGGCGTTGAGCACAGCCGCTGGCTTCCTGACTCGTCGCTTCTCCAGGCTCGAGTTGACGCTCAGTCCCCTGATCTCTGCCACCATCTGTTTGGAAGCCTAATGTGGCAGAGTATTCGTAATAGTTCTAGAGTGGCTCCTGGTCTGTGTAGAGCCGTCAGGGGCACCGGAAATAAGGTTTCCGAGACGAGATTAGGAGGAAAGGGGTCACGTGGCCGAGAAGCTGGGGCACGCAGTCCAGACCACCTGTTGGCACTGGGGACCACCGGCTTTGGCCTGTCTGACGTACTGCGTGACATGGGCGAGTTTTTATGAGTAAGTCAATACCGAACATGAAATGTGACGGGCAAAAAACATTAACTGAGAAATTCGAGTCAACTTAAACAGTGATGGGATGTTAACTCATCTCTACCGCACAGCAGTTTAGTCTTAAAACAGAACTATTTTTTTGTTCACATGGTATGTGAAACAGTTTCCTAGATATTTTGTCTTGTGTCGTAAAAATGGACACAGACCTGGTTTTCCCAGTGTGGTTACAAATTTACCAGACTGCTTTCTTTATACCCTACTATTATTCTGAGATTGTCCTGACATTATATGATCTGTTTTGCCTCCCTTTTACTTACGTTACTATCTCCAGTCCCATAGTACCTTAAGTCAAATTGGAAGTGTATCTTAATACTTCCAGTCTTAGGTCAGCTTAATGTTTCCTGTAATTGAAGTTGGCAACTTCCTAAAACATTCCAAGCTAAAGTTATTTTCCCAGACTGAAAAAATGTTGTTGTTGTTTTTTAATCACTTGATGATGGGCAAAATTTGTGGTATTCTGTAATAATGGTTATGTGCTAGAGTAGCCTTAGTAGCATGGGCACATCATTTAACATCTTCAGTTAGATGTCTCAAATCCCTTTGAGATTTAAAAAGCTAGATTTTTGTTAAATTTCTACCTCGTGTTTTTTTTAGGGACCAGAATGTGTATGCTTATTCTCATCTGGTACTCATTTTTATCTTAACATCATCTGGTGTACCAGACATGGCACTAGTTTAAATACCTGTGTCCAGTTACAGGACTGCAAAATGCAATTACTGACATTTAGAAGTTGTCCTTAAAGACTTTAGGATGGGAACTACTTTCTATTGAAAATGCCTTCCAGTCTGTGTTTCTTCAGTGGCTCTAGTGACCCTCTTTTTTCCCCTTGTCAGATAGGAAGTTGAGCCCCTTCCGTGATTTACATGTTTCCCAGAAGCTTGTACCTTCATTGCCTTCTACATAAGAAATCATCTCTTAGCAGTAAATTTGAAACACTATTTTGGCTAATACTTATTGATAACTCTTACATAAAAAATGTCGTGTCAGTCTCCCCAACCCCCAAAGAAAGTCAGTCTAGGCCAGGGAATCCTTTGAGAATATTTGCTCAGATGCCCTGGAGTTTTGAGTGGTCAATAAGATAATCTTGTTTACCTTAGTTCAAAGGAGTTTGTTTTTTGCCACCAAAGTTTGGAGTAATAGCTAGACTGGTTCAAGTACTACAGGCATACCTTGCAGATATTATGGGTTCACTTCCACACTGCTATAATAAAATGAGTAAACAGCTATGAAGTACCATAAAGCTAAACGCAATAAAGTGATGTATGCCTGTATATGATAATCCTGAGAGTTTTCCAATCAAAGGTTTTAAGAGTGAGCCCCAGCTGTCTCCAGTTTACATATAAAGTGAAGAGCACTGGCCTTAAGATTGTGGGAAAAAGTTTTAATCTGATTAAAGATCCTATTTTCTGTATGATCTGAATTCCGTTTTGTCTTTATGTAATAAATATTTCTCTTATCCTGGGAAGTAAGCTTTCACTTGATCCTGTTATCCTTGCCAATGCTCAGCTTCCAAAGCATAGGTCATCCCTCAATGAGCAAGCCACCTGGAATGCCAGCACTCACTCAGGACTCTGCCAGGTTTTATAGAGGATTATTAAAAGAAATAGCCAGGTGAAAAATGAGTTAACATTTTGTAAAGGGCTTACTTAGAACAGTATTTGGTATGTGTTAACTACAGCATAACTGTTTATTAAATGAGAATAAAATTGCCCTGGCCGGTTTGGCTCAGCGGTTAAAGCGTCGACCTGCGGTCCGGAGAGACCCGGGTTCGGTTCCCGCTAAGGGCACGTACTTCGGTTGCAGTTTGTCCCCGGCCCTGGTTGGTCGTGTGGGTGGCAGCCACTCGATGTGTCCCTTCACGTTGATGTTTCTCTCTCTCTCTCCCTTCCTCTCTCTCTCCCTCCCACTCTAGCTGTACAAAAAATGGAAAAATATCCTCTGGTGAGGATAAAAAAAAAAAAAAGGAATAAAATTGCTTTGTGTAGCCCTGGCTGGTTTAGCTTAGTGGTTAGAGCGTCAGCCCCTGGACCAAAGAGTCTCGGGTTTGATCTTAGTCGAGGGCACATACCTTGGTTGCAGTTTGAGCCCCAGCCCTGGTTGATGCAGGAGGCGACCAATCAATGGGTCTCTCTCACATCATGTTTCTCTCTCCCTCCCTGCCTCCCACTCTATCTGAAAATGAATGGAAAAATATCCTCAGGTGAGGATTTTTAAAAAATTGCTTTGTTTATTGTAAAACCTGACAAGGACATTGGCCTTTGAATTTTTGGCTCTCACATAAGAAACTTTTTTATTTTTTAGTTCCTAGAAAAAATTTCTATTGAGAAATTGTACTTCTTGTAGGAAACTGTGATTTGTACTGTCTACCTTTTTGCCGTGCTTACCAGTAATCTCAGAGTGAATTTAATACTTAACCATAGCAATTTTATTAGTTCACATGGCTGGGTTTTTGCTTTTCCTCTTTTCTGTGGTCTAACTTTATATTTTGTTAACCATATCATATATTCTGGAAGGTGGTAGGATATAAATAAGTTACCTACTTATCATTTATCCATACTCAATCTTTTTGAATCAGTGTCATTCTAAGATATGCCATCTCTTTCAACCAACTTCATAGGTTAAGATTTTACTATCTTAAATATTGAATGGAAAAATGTAATGATTTTTGCTCAGTTTTCCATATAGCGCTCTTATATTTTGTTACTGTCATTTTGAAAACCACTTTCCTTGGCTTTCTCATTTTTTAAGGTTTCTCTGCTTTCCTTACTCGTTTTGGGTTTGTTCATTGGATAAACCCTGATGCTGAAGCTTTTGCTTCTTTTCCATTTGTTTTCCTTCTCAAGAGCATATCTCTTCTCTCAGCTTTGACTCTCATCTTTGTGTAGGTAATATCTTTCTCCAAGCTTTGTTCTCACATTTACCTTCACATATATGGTGACTTCAAATTTAAAATATGTACCTCCATATCCATTCTTTTGTCTCATTTCAATCTATTTTGCATACTGTTTTGAGATTAATTGTAGACTTTTAATTTAAAAATATCACTGTCCTTTCAGAAAACCAATATGGACTGGAATGAGTATTATATAAACGTCTCAGACCATGCTATATAGCATTGAAGATTCTTGATTAACCTTTATACCAATGCTTGTCTAACATGGCCATTTTTATCACAGTTTTTCTTCTCCATCAAGCATGCCATGCTTCATTTCTGTACAGCCCAAAAGTGTATATTCTAGGGTCCCTGGGAAGGATTGGCAGGTGGTAACAAGGGGGCATTTTAAGTTACTTTTTGTTTGAGCATTTTATTATTTAATTAGAAAGGAAAAAAGAGATATAACAAGGACCAGGCTGGGACAATATCAGTATATGTATGTTCTTTAAAAAATAGGTAATTCATTGAGGGTACAACATTGAAAGGATTCCATTAAAATAAGAGTGTGATCAGTTTTACCGTATCAGATTGGCAGATATTAAGTTAAATCAAGTGATGCAAAGTAGGAAATGGGAACTCTTTCATTGCTAGTGGAAATATAAATTAGTTCGGCTATTTTTGAGGGTAGTTTGGTAGTATCTTAAAAACTGTGTACCCATGTGCGATGATTGCATGTTTGTTCATCTATTCAAAGTCACAGCATTTCAAAAACATCTTTAAATTAAGATAGAATAATTAAAAATACTATATTAAAAGTGAAAGTGCAAGCAAAAGTGATTTCAGCTAGCTTCAGATACTGTGTTTTGGAAGTTCATATTCTTTTTTTTTTAATCTTCATCTGAGGATATTTTTCCATTTATCTTCAGAGAGAATGGGAGGGAGGGGGAGAGAGTGAGAGAAACATCGACATGAGAGAGACACATGGACTGGCTGCCTCCAGTGCAACCTTGACCAGGGCCAGGGGTGAACCTCAGTGGAGGTACGTGCTCTTTTTTTTATCCTCACCCAAGGACATTTTTCCATTTTTTGTTCAGATACAGTGGGAAGGAGAGAGAGAGAGAGAGAAATATCGACGTGAAAGGGACACATCGAGTGGCTGCCTCCCGCACGACCCAACCAGGACCGAGGACAAACTGCAACCAAGGTACGTGCCCTTAGCAGGAACCAAACCTCGGTCTCTCTGGATCACAGGCCGACGCTCTAACCGCTGAGCCAAACCGGCCAGGGTGGTACGTGCGTTTGACCAGAATCGAACCTGCGACTCATTGGTCCACGGACCGCTGCTCTAACCACTGACCCAAACTGGC